GGGAAGATTGGGGTGAGAAACATCCCCAAATCTAGCAAAAATATATAAGTGGTCGGCAAACTCATTAGTCAACAGAGCCAAATATCAATAGTACAGCGATGGGAATTTCTTTTGAGAGCCCAATTTTTTAAACTTAAACTGTATAGGTAGGTACACTGTTATTAACTTAATTAGGGTACTCCTAAGGCTTAGGAAGAGCCACACTCAAGGGGCCAAAGAGCCGCATGTGGCTCGGGAGCTGCAGTTTGCTGACCACGGCCCTAGGGGAACAAGGGGAATCAGAAGGAGAGATGTAGCCTCGGGTTATAATCTGGGGATTCCAGGCAAACTGATACCAACTGGAGGAAGAACAGTCCATGGAGTCTGGTGCCTCCATCTGTGGGCACCAGGGAATAATAATCCATGGTGAGTACACTGACTGCAGCTGCAGCAATTTTAAAAGAAGCAGGAGGAGACTCAGGTGGAACTCACTGGCATCAGACTTTCACTCTGGGCTGAGCTCCCTTCATTCGTGATCCTTGGTTGGAAGAACCGTACCCAAGGCTCGGGGGCACTCAGACAGCCCTGGTCACAGTCCCTGTTCACTGCTGCCTGAGGCAGCCTTGCCTCTCACTGTTGGAAAGTTTCCCCTTAGACTGAGCTGAAACCGGCTGCCCTCCCCACTCCCCCTACTCTAGTGTCCACCCACTGGGAGTCTCACTGGTGAGGTTCACCAAACACTCAATAAGAACAACACCCAACTTGCACAATCTTTTCTAGAGAATCAAAAAAGTGGGAATACCGCCCACTTTGTGTTGTGAGGCCAGCATAACCTTGATACCAAAGTTTGACAAGTAAGCACTAGAAAAGGAAATTGCCAGTGGGTCTCACTCATGAACTGACGTTGTTAAAATTCCAAGCAAAATGGTGAGCAGAAATAAACCAGCAATAATGATGCTATAGGACAATGTGAGTTGGGTTTATTCCAGAAAAACAGAAATCAATGCAGTTCACCAAGTTAACAGAATGACAAAGAAAAATCATATGACCATCTGAGCAGATGCAGGGAAAACATCTGTTACAAACTCTACTTCCATTTATGACTAAAAAGAAAACAGACACTCAGCAAATTGGGAATAGGAAGGAACTTCTTTCATCTGGTAAAGATTACCTACCAAAACCCTGGAGTAAACATTATACCTGGTTATCAAAAGTAGAGCTCCTTAAGAGCTGCAAGAGGCAAGATGCCCACTATCCCATCTTTAATTTACTGTTGTACTAAGGTCTTAGTCAGGGTAGTAAGATGGGGTTGGGGGCAGGGGGAGAAAAAGAAATAGGAACAAAAGAATTGTAAAGAAAGAAACAAAACTATTATTTTCACTTCCTATAATTGTATTATATATAGTGTTTCCAAAAGAATCTATAACTACTCTTTTTTTTTCATTAGTAAGAAAGCTTGGCAAGATTTCTGGATATAAAATCAATATACAAAATGGAGACATATTTTTGCCAAAAAGTTACCTATAGGGCATTAAGTTATGAATAGATATTATTTAAAATAGCATGGAAATATCCAACAACTAGCAATGTATCTAAAAAAATATATGTGCAATGGAAAATTGCACCAAGGGATAATTACGAAACTGTACCATGAGAAGTTAAAGATATCCTAAATAATGAAGAGAAATACCATGTTCATGGAAGACGAAACAGTATACCTTACACCCTCTGTGGACCAATAGAGCACTCAGCAATAACAGCCCCCAGATCAGAGCAACCTGGGCTTCTAAAATGTGTGACTTTGGGCATTCCACCAACCTCCCCAAACCTCAGTTTCCTCACATGTAAAACAGGAAGAGCCATTATGCCTAGTTTTTAGGAGTCAATGGATGAAAGCCCTTTGTAAAGTGCTGTATGAATGCAGGGAATTCTTATGACTAACATTATTGCCCGTTGTTGGTCTGAGGGTGGGGAAAAGTTTTCTCTCCCAGATTAGGCCAGCTGTGTCCCTGTTTCTGCTCATCAATCTGTCACCGAGGGCAGTGTTGCATGCTTATTCTGTGCATAACATTTCCTCATTCAGTCCTCACAGCCAACCTACAAGGCAGATGCTGTACTAGCCCCATTTTACATATGACAAAGCAGAGGCTCAATCAAGCAACTTGTCATTCATATATTCACTCATTGATTCGGCATTCATGAGCCCCTTCTGTGGACTAGGAGCTGTGAATACCCTGGTGAATAAGACGGACATGGTCTCTGCTCTATCAGGGCTGTGAGTCTAGTTAAGAAGATAGTCAAAAATCATACCTCAACTAACCAGCTGGCAGAACCAAGATTCAAACTCAGGTCTGTTAGACACCAGAGTCCATGCTTTTAAGCACCCCCTGGAGGTGCCTTCCTCAAGCTCCTCCCCTCCATCCTCTCTGTTGTGATGTAATGATTTCTAACATCCATTCTGCTGGCAGCATCAAGTTTCAATGGGCCTTGCTATCCAAGCTGTTGCATAAATGGTGAGCTGTCAGCTTTGATCTTGGCCCATGTGGTTCTTGTGCATTATCACTGGAGAATGACAGCAGGGAAAGTGAGCAAGAGAGAAGAGAGGCATCCTGGTCTCTCTTCCCACAGCATCAGTGGCATTGTTCCCGATGAGTGTGTGCCTGAGTCCTCGGCTACCGTTAATGGCAGAAGTGAGTCACTTATAAATAAGATACAGGAGCTTTATTATAATTACATCCCGCAATTCAGAAGTGCTCATCATCACTGTGAAAGGCAGGGCAGCAGGCAACGGGGGCCTGAATGATCCTCTGCCAGGTACATCTTGCAGATAAAACGTCTTGGATCAGGAGCAATTACTGCTAACGTCCAGCCTGAATGCTAATGAGAAGCACTTAAAATTGCATGCAATTCTTTGCCGTTTATACTACCTGCTTTCCCCTTCTTTTCTCTGCCTTTCCATCCTGAGAAACAGACTCTGGAAAATACGATCACTGGCCATTTTGCAGATGAGGAAACTGATGCTCAAGGTCACTCAGCTCAAAGGGCCAAGGTGGGCTTCTAACCCTGAACTTTTTTTCACTCCACCGTTCTGCCTTTAAGGGAAAACATTTCAGAACTCTGGATGTGTCCACTTTCCCTGGAAGGTACACAAAATATCCCGTCAGTAGGACAATCTGAAAGGCAGCTGTGGTGGTACGTTCTGTTGAAGGCTTTGCCTTGATGAGAACATGGCAGCTGTAGCTAGACCTGGTGAAATTAACTTCAGTCCTACCCTCTGACATCCCACAACCACCAAGAAGCCCACATTTGTTCCTTAGGGACCCGAGAAATGACCATGAGAGAGAGAGCCTCGCTGCAAGAAAGGAAGAGCCTTTCTCCTGCCCACACAAGTCAGAAAACTGCCCCAAATCCATTCTGCCCAGAAACAAGCCAGAGAGTAAAGTTTAAGCTGCAGCACGAAGGAGTGAGGTTGGCCATAATAGTGATAATTGTGGTAATGCCCAGCTTTTGCTGAGTATCTAGTAGAACTCTGGAAAGTTTAAATAAGTCTGCAGGGAGACTTTGGGATTTAGGCTATTTAAAGGTTGAGATTTCACTAAGATTTCGGGGACACACATTTACATCTAACACTATATCTCTTCCCCCTTTACAGACAAGAGAGCAAGAGGCTTACAGAGGTGGGGGGCAGCATGCAGGTGGCAGAGCCAGGATAAAAGCTAGCCTGTTTGACCTTCATAGTAACACAATAACAGCTAACGTTTAAATAGCACTTTTATGTATTACATGGCACCATTTAGGTGCTTTATACACATGAACATAATTCTCTCACCAACCCAGTGAGGAAGGTGCTATGAACACTCCTGCTCTAAAAACGGGGAACTGAGGAACAGAGAGGTATAGCAACTTGCCCAATGCCACCGAGCTCCTCCGTGACAGCACTGGAGTTTGAGCCAGTGCCAGAATCCACAGCTCTGCCACACCATTTTCCATCAGCCACTCCTTGCGTGTAAAAATGAAAGTACAAACATGGAATTCTGAGAGAGTCCAAGGAAAGGAAGTTCTTCCTACCTCAGACACTCAGCCCAGGGCCAAGAGGGACCACTCCCAGCCAAGGATTGCCTAAACGACTCCTCTGGGCTCCAGGGTCCCTGGCAAGCAGCTCTAGCCTCCACCCAGCTCTGAAATCATGGACAGGCAGCGCTGGGCCACCTCCCACCTTGTAAGGATTCTTTGTCACTTGAAAATGGACAGTACAGACTTCCCTACAGACTCTTCCTCCACCAAGAAAATACTTCTTGAGTCAGCCAGTAGCATTAGACAGCTTTGCGCTCATGTGTGAAGGTCTAGCAAGCCTTGAGGATTTACATGGGGTCGTTAGGGATTCCTGTGAGGGATCAGCCACTCAGCAGTATGCCTCCTGCAGGACACTTATTAGAGAGAAAGGAGGGCGGCTGCAGGCGCATCAGAGACCCTGCTGCTTGGCATCTCTCTAGTCCTCACCTTTGCTGCTGACCGCCACAAGCAGGGGAGACCTAAGGTCCCATCTGCACGATAAGACCCATGTTCAAATCCTAACTCTGCCAGGGACCAGCTGGGCAACCTCAGGCAAGTGACTTAACTTCTCTGAGCCTCATAGAGTATCTCTGTTCAATGAGGCTAATAATAATAGTGCCTACCTTGCCAGGCTGCCCTGAGAACGAATTGGGATGCAATGAGACTCTGATCATTGCATCCACTCTCCTCTCCCAGTCTGTGCTGGTTCCCGGTTGCCTCCAAGACAAAAGCCAAGATTGGGGCATTCAAACCCCTCCCTATCAGACCCCCAACTCCCCTCTCCTTCATGCTCCGGAGATGCACTCCATCTCTGCCCCAGTCACTGGGGCCTACCCCTCATCCCAGAAAGTTTCCCAAGCACATTCCCGCCAGGGGATAAGGCCCGCACAGTAGGACTTCTGCGCTGCCTCCTGAAGTCCCGCTGGGGTGTGAGGTAGGAACGCCCTGCCAGAGGACAGCGACCCTACCTGGTGCATCTGTGCACTGCCAGCTCCCAGACAGCAGGCACCTCTGAGTCTCCGGGATCCCGGTGGGGTCTTCTTGGGGACGAGGGGGCTAATCACCTAGAAAGAGAAGGCGGCTTCTGTGAAGAACAGCTGCGCTCCAGCTCCTGCTCCTGCCTTCCTTGGCTCCCTCCAGAAAAATGGAGAGCACCTGCCGGAATTTAGTGCCCGCTCACCCTTTCCCTAAGGACCCGCAGCCCCAATGCGCTCCCACCGCGAGAATCCACTCCCTGGCAGCGATGGCCTCCTGTTTTTCCAAAGGGTCCTTCGCGCCCGTGTGTCCGCCGCGCCTGGGCGTGCAGCCGGGCTGCAGGAGGCCGCGGGCGGCGGTCTTCACCCTCCCCACCCACACCCGGCCCCTGGCGACGCTGAACCTGGGACTCGCCTGCATGCGGAGAGGTTAGGTCAGGCGACTGGGGCTCAAAACCCTTGCTCTCTCCTGACTCGCTGGTGCTCCTGGGCACAACTTTCCCTCTCGGGAGGGACCTCAGTTTCCTCCTCTGTGAAATGGGTAGGATAATACCCGGCCACAAGCAGAAGGGACCTAAGGTCCCATCAAATGACAGAAGAATGGAACGAGATCCCGGATGTCCACCTGGCACAGACAACGCACTCAACGGATGGGCTGGGACTGCGATTCGCATCCCACCCGGAGCCAGCCGAGCCAGGGTGGCTCTAGGGGAGCTGGGGACTCCCTTCTCCGCACCGGAGCCCGGAGGCAGGGGCGCGCGGCGCGCACCCGGGCCCACCCGGGGGAAGCCACAGGTGTCC